CCCGGAGCATTTATTTATCGAGGGATAAGGTGTCAGGAACTGGGGCAGCCCTTTGCTTGCTTCCTTTCATTTAATCCTCACAAAACACACAAGTAGTTGTAATTACTAGCCCCATTTTACAGATGAGAACATAGAGGGCCAGGATGTTGAGATGCCTCTAATATTGAGAATGAGCAAGGAAGCCCCTACCAGTCCTGATGCCACACCAATTCCCACTCCCATCCCTGTGCTCTCACCTGGGCCTGCGTGCGGACCCAATCCTGGACACAAGTCATCTAGCCCAGATCCCCCCGCCCCCCAGACAGGTCCCCACCTAAGCCACCAAAGACCCACAGCCTCACCTCTCGAAGAATAATCGGGAGTCCCATGCCCCCCACTCCCAGATCAGCCTTCTGCAAGTCGCCAATCAGCAGTGGGCTTTGCAGTCCACTGAGTCTCGACATGAGGATGGAACCAACCTCAGAGAAATACAGTTTTCTCCCCAAGGCCAACTGCAAGGCCAGTGGGGAAATAAATGATCAGTCCACTCAGGATTAATTTCCTAATAACCACGAGCTAGCCAAAGACCTCCCCACCCTCCCTCGCCCAGCTCCTTGTTCTTCCTGGAGAGCCTCAGAGACCAGAGCTTGTTCTCATTCTCAGGGGAGAGGGTCCTGCTCCCGCCACCCACTGCCACATCCTCTTGCAAGAGTGTCTAGTTGCCCCCAGAATCCTGGCCCGGCTCCTTCCTCCTTCCTTTGCCTCTTCTTAGCCTCAGCACTGCGAGGTGATGAATTAGGAACCAGAAGTTGGCACATCCACCCAGCAATTAGCGTTTATCTCTCTTGTTTATGTGGCTGAACAACTGTTCATTTTCAAACTCAATAGTCACTACTCAGAAAGATAAACCCTCCTGGGTCACTCCTGGGAGGCGATTTGAGGGTTTGGTGGGAAGATGAGGATAGGGCAGGAACTCAGCCCACGTCTTCACCTCCAAGTGCTCACTCCTCCCAGAGTTACATCTGGGGGCCTCTGCCCTCCCTGCCTAGTCGACCAGGAGAAAGGTTCAATTCCCCCCCAGTTCCATGTGCAGGAAATCTGAAGATGACAGATGTTGAGGGGTTCTGCAGTTTGCAGACTCTCCATTTTTCCTCACCTTGGATTTCAAGGGCTCACACTTTCCATCCCACACTACAAGGGGTCTGCCTTGTACAGAGTCTTGCCTTCGGGGGCTTTAAAAGTGACCCTGAGGCACCCACTCGGCCCCTTTCCTGAGGCCCACAGAGCCAGCCCAAGGGCAGCAGCGCCCGAATGGAAGGGACCCACCCCGTGCACCACACTATAACTCCAAGCCAGGCTGGACAGGGTTTGTTGGGATGAAGCAAGGCCCTCCTTCCTGCTCACCTGTCATCACGTTCCAGCCTAAGACTACAGGGTCTTGACTAATGCAGAAAGAGGCAAGAAAGGGGCTCCCCTTGCGGGGCCAGTCCTGACGCAGGGCTAGGGGAGGGAGGCTCGGGGTCCATTAACAGTGGTGAAATGCTGTCACCTACTGGCCATGCCCCAAACTGCAGGGAGCCCTGCAGCTGCTTCTGGGGCTGGAAAGGAGTCCAGGAAAATGCCCGATGGCCCTATGGTCTCTCCCATCCAATGGCGGAAGGTCAAAAGGACCAGAAAACCAAGCTTGGTCTCAGGTTTGAATGCTGACTGGACAGCAATAATCATGTTATTACTTATTGAGCACTTACTGTTCCAGGTACTTTGCACACATTCCCAACAATCCTGTGTGTGTGTGTTTGTGTGTGTGTGTGAGTTGCTCAGTCAAGTCCGACTCTGTGACCCTGCCAACTGTAGCCCGCCAGCCTCCTCTGTCCATGGGATTCTCCAGGCAAGAACACTGGAGTGGGTAGCCATTTCCTTTCCCCCTGGTCTCCTGCATTACAGGCAGATTCTTTATCATCTGAGCCCCCAGGGAATCCTGCAAGACACTCTTATGGGATTTACCCTCCTAGAGGCCAGGGAGCTCGCCAAGGTCACAGCTGGTGAGCTATACAGGCCGGCTCCAAACTCAGGAGCCCCAGTCTCTGTTCCCCACACAATGGCGCATCCCAGATCCCCCCTTCCCTGGACCTCTCCCCAACTCCTCTTCTATTTCTTTCACCCCCATTGCCATGCCCTCTCCCCCAGATAGCTGCTTCTCAGCCACCAAGTCCCGTCCACAGTATCCCATTCCTCCAGGAGAACAAAACTCCATGCAGTCCATATTCTGATGGGTCCTAATGGTCCAGGCCCAGAGAAGAGCTCAAAGCTTCTAAGGTCCCAGCCTCCCCACCTTCTGAACAGGTGGGGAGGAGTCTCTTTGGGGATGCCCCAAGTCCCCATAGTTGGATCTAAAGGTGAAGTGGGGCAGCTGGCTGGGTTAGGGGAGCCTCGGGGAGTTGAGGGTCCAGTCCTGATCATAGAGCCCCAAGCTGTGTTTTTCAGTCCCTTCCAACCACTCTTCACTGTGATCTTTGCCACACAGACTATCAGAGCTAGGAGAAGACTTCAGGAATGATCCAGTGAAAGCATCTCCTTCTACAGATGGGCTTCCCTTGTGGCTCAGCTGGTAAAGAATCTGCCTGCAGTGCGGGAGACCTGGGTTTGATCCCTGGGTTGGGACAGTCCCCTGGAGAAGGAAAAGGCTTCCCATTCCAGTGTTCTGGCCTAGAGAATTCCATGGACTGTATAGTCCATAGGGTCACAAAGAGTTGGACATGACTGAGAGACTTTCACTTTCACTTTCATAGATGGGGAAGTCAGGCCCAGAGAGGGCAAGCAGATCACACAGCCCAAAGTGACAAATCAGGAAATCTCCACTGCCCAGCCTGTCTATCTGCTCCCTCTTTATCCAGCCCAGACCCTGGGGCTCCTCAGCACTGTGCCCACAGGCTACCCACAGCACCCCCAGAACCACCTAAGGCCCAGAATAGGGGCGCATGGACCTCAGAGGAACTAGGATGGAAACAGAGTCTTTCTTCTCTCCTTTCTCTCCCCTTCTGCAGAGAGACGCCTCCTCTGTTCCCTGAGCCACTTGGGGCCTGAGTTAGTCCCCATGTTTTCACCCATGCTGAAGAGGGAGGCTTTCTAAGAAGTGGGAAGAAAGGATTCCCTTGATTGCTTTATAATTACAGCTCCGGCAGTAATGGAACCGATGGAGATGGTGGGGGAGCATGGCGCTCCATCTGGGCCCAGCAGAGGGCCAGGGCCTCTAGACCCTGCTGCCCTCCTCTCTTCCAACCTTTCTGGCCTCCAGGCTGCAAGCAGCCACTCCCAGGGAGATCCAGGCCTTGGACACACAGGGGCCCAGCTGTCCCATGGCTCTCAGCAGGACCAGGGGCCAGGACCCCTCCTCAGCTGGCGGGCTTGGAGAAGGGCCCAAGCTAGGCAGTCAGGCCCTTTCTCAGAGAATCTGGGTATCCCTGGGGTCTCCTTACCATCACATCCACAGGGCGGGCAGGTCCTAAAGAAAGTGGGGGGGAGGCTGGGGGCACTGGGTGCCCACTGAGATGGACCTGCTGGGCAGGGGACGCTCGTCAGGGGCACTGCTCATGGAATCAGCCCTGGGACTGCAGAGAGCAGCAGCTGAGCCTGGGGACACTGGGCCCCCAGACCTCAAGCAGGGGCCCCAAATGGCAGACCATCTCTCTGGCGGTCAGCTCTCCTTCCTGATGATGCCAGAAGGTTCTCCCTTCCTTCCTTCCCCTCTTTCCTCTCTGTCCCCCTCTTATCCATCTTCCCCGATTTCAAGGAGCCCCATTCTGGGAAGTCTGGCTGCTGGCTGGCTTCACAAAGCTACCTGGCCCAGCAGGGCAGGGAGGGGGGTTTGCCCCTCCACGATGGGCCAGCAGGGAGCTCACTCAGGCTCTTTTCCTGCGGTGGGTGGGTCCGCTCCCTCGGTGTCATTTGGCCCCTGCTGCTGCTGCTAAGTCACTTCAGTTGTGTCCGACTCTATGCGACCTCATAGACGGCAGCCCACCAGTGGGGAGCAAAGAGGGAAATGAAAATGGAGGGGCGTGGGGGCTCCCAGCCATACCGGAGAAGAGATGGATGTAACTTTCTTGCACTCTTTTCCCTCCCTGCCAAGTCCTGCTTCCTTCTGTCTTGCTTGCCTCTTCCGGGGAGCCTTCCCTGACTGCCTCTCCAGGCCTCTCCGTGTCCCCAGGGACTGGACGGCCTCTCTCCTTTGCCCATGGCCGAAGCTCAGGATGACACTGCCCTCAGGAGCCAGGCTGCCTTGCCAAGTCTCAGCTCTGGGCCCCTCAGCCCAGGAAGCCCTCCTTCTACTAAGAAGACTCTCAGGTCTGGAGCCTCTGCCTGGCCTCCATGCCTGCCTGTGGGCCCTGCTCCCCCTGTGGCCTCAGGGGTAGGCTAGCTGGAGGCTCTGAGCTCCCACAGCCCTCGGGGTGTGCCGGCGATCCCCTGGACCCCACCCCATTGTCCTCCCTTCTGCTCAGTGTTAACCAGGCCACTTCAGGAAGGTCCAGTCTCCTGCACTGCCCACCAGGGACTCAGGTGAGGTGAGGGGAGGTGGGGGTATTGTCCACTAGGGACTCAGGTGGGGGTGGGGAGGGGCGGGAGCACTACCCACCAGGGACTCAGGTGGGGGAGGGGAGGGGTGGGAGCACTGCCCACCAGGGACTCAGGTGGGGTGGGGAGGGGTGGGAGCACTGCCCACCAGGGACTCAGGTGGGGGAGGGGAGGGGTGGGAGCACTGCCCACCAGGGACTCAGGTGGGGGAGGGGAGGGGTGGGAGCACTGCCCACCAGGGACTCAGGTGGGGTGGGGATGGTTGAGAGCATTGCCCACCAGGGACTCAGGTTGGGGTCGGGAGGTGTGGGAGGGAGGCCAAGAGGAACCATGTCTTCTGGAGGGAAGAAAGGAGACAACCACATACTCATCAGAGGTGGAAAAAGTGGGTTCAGAATTGCAGCCAGTCCCTCTGGTGACCCTGAGGGAAACAGTGGTTCAGTGCAAAGAAGTGAATGATCAATGATTTATTCAAGAGGGGAAAGCCCAAGCTGAATGTCTCCCTCCCCCACACCTCCCTCCCCCACGCCTCCCTCCCTCCCGTCCCCCCTCCCACCCCTGACAGCCGCTCCGCTCCCCGTGGCCCCCACGGCCCTTGGGAGGGGTCAGTGAGAGCAGGGATGACCCTGCGTTGGAGCCCCTGGATTGGGCTCCTCTCCAGGAGGCCCCATGACAACATGCAATGTGGAGAGCAGTCGGAGGGGGGAGGAAGACTCTAGTGGGGGCAGTGCATGATGAGGGTGTGGGCAGGATGTAAGGCGCCCTTGAATATAAGCACCTCTGGCTACCAGCCCCGCCACACTTTCACCTGCCTGCTCACTTCCCATTGCCAGGGAGAAACACAATGATGAAACTAATGAAATTCTGTAGGTAAACTACATTTCTCTCAGAGCAACTGGGCCAGTAGCTGTCTTCCTGGGTGGGGTATGCCATGCCAAGGGAATGGCTTATCTCAAAAGAAAGGGCTGGCAAAGGTCATCCTGGCGGTGAGGGAAGCCCGTCCTCAGGGACCACAGACTCATGGTGGATGTGGGGAGACTCAAGGCTGGGCAGGGTGATGCCAAGACACTGGGAGCTTTCCCTCTGTGGTGGCCAAGGGCTGTGGCCCTGCCGGGCTGGGCACTGCTTGGCAGGACCCAAGCAGGGCACATGGGGCCAGTCTTCTCCTGGGGTGGGGGGCAAGCTGCCAGGAAGAGGTGGAGGGAGGCGGGCAGCTGTCGTGGCCAGGTGCCTACTGACTGCATCGTGGCGTAGGGCTCCTTGGAGAGAAGTGGCTGACAGGCCTGAAGAGAGCAGGGCCGGGCAGGGAAGGCGGGCGAATACTGCGTGGGCACCCGCCACGCGTCCCAAGGATCCTGCCCGAGGGCAGGAGGGTGGTGGGTTAAGGGTAAAAGCCCAGCCGTCTCCCACCTCCATCCAAGCACAGGAAAGATGGTGACCCTTAATTACAGAGCAGGAGAGGACTGGATGGAGCACAGCTGACCAGGAGGAAGGGGGCGGCCAGGTGGTCCTGAGAGAGCGGGCTGAGGGCAGGGGAGGGCAGGCCGGGGCCGGGACCCTCCCCACCAGATGAGAAGCTTAGTGAGAGCAGCAGCCGGAGGGGAGGACGGGGGTGGCGGGGCCTCGCTCCAGCCCATCTGGAACTCACGGGGCCTCATTGGACCCAACCCCGGTGCCTTTGTTGACGTAGAAGGGCCGGTAGTGCGACTGTGTGGGAAAAGGAGAGTGGTTAGGAGGTCTGACGACACACGTGCCCGCCAGCCAGACCCCACCCCCTCACCTCCACCAGGAAGCAACAGTGGTCTGAACCCCAATGACCCTAGGGCCCTGTGGCCTAACCTGTGAGTTCCATCTACCCTGGGACTGGGGTGGGTGCCAGGGGTATCAGAGTCCCCGGGTTCACATCCTGATCAGAATTCTTTCCACCAGTTGACGGGTGAGCTTGAACCTCAGCCAGGTCAAGCGCTCTCTCCACGCCCAGGAAGCCCCTCCCAGCACCATTGTAGCTCCCATTCATCCAATATTCTCTAATCTACAGACCTGGTGTGGGGCTTTCATTGAATTTTCACAACCACCCAATTAAGTGGGTTACTATTAGCAAAGACCCATTTTATACATGAACAAACCGAGGCACAGAGAGGCTAAGCAACTCACCCAAGGTCCCTTAGCTAGTAAGCAGAGGCACTGGGATTCGAACCCCAGCAACCTGGCTCCAGAACTCAGCCCCGCTCCCTCCACCCATAGCGATGTACCACTTCTGAGTCTCAGGGGTTGGCCTCTGCTCTCTCTGCACCATTCTCCCTGACAGAAGGGGCTGTGGAGAGGGCGAACCACCCCCCAGCCCACACAGACTGGGGGCCTCCCCTCAACGGCCAGCCCCTCCACCTCTCTCATGCTGGTCCCCTCATCAGGATTCAGGAAGCATCTCTCAGGACAGAGAGAGTGACAACTTTCCTGCCAGCCCTGTGTATTACATCCCGCAGCAATTTCATGAAATCAGCACTCCCCTCTCCTCCCAATCACTCCATTAGGGCCCTGAGCAACCCTCCAAGCTGCAATGGAAGAGCACGTTTAGCTGCAGCTTGCCCTTGGGCGTGTCCTGGCCCCTGGAGGGTCTCCGCAAGTGGCTTTGCCCTTGAACTGGGTCAGAGCCTGGGCCCATCTCACACCCCACTGATCCCAGGAGACCCCAAGGGTGACCCCAGCCCCTGCGCTGGCCCTGCCTGCCTGGACATCTGTGTCTACAGTAGCTCCTTGCCTACATCTGGTCCACTGTGGAGCTGGGGGCCTGTGGAACACGAGGACTAACAGAACTTAGCTCTGGCCTTGGTTAAACCACTCGTTAAACAATGGAAGAGACAGAGATTCAGGGCAGGGAGAGACATAGACAAAGTTCCTCAGCTGCTTAGCAGGAGAGCAGGGCCTGGATCCAGTCTCCTGATCCCCAGGTGCCAGCCTGGACCCCAGAAGAGTCAGTAAGGCAAAGTGGATAGACCCAGATATGGCCAAAGCCTTTCTTAAAGGAAGGTTGGGTCAAGCAAATGGATGTTAGGTCAGTGAATGGTGCTGTCTTATTGAGAACCGAGCGGCGGGTAGGCACAGAGCCCCCCGGCATCTGGGCAGGGTGCTCCCAGCACATACACACCCATCCCCCGCCCCTGTTCCCGCCCCTGTTCCCTCGCAGGCTCGGGGTCACAGCACATGAAATTTGGAAGACTTAGGAAATCATCCAGGCCATCTGCCCATGCTACAGATGGGAAAACTGAGGCACAGGGGAAGAATAACTAAAATTGGTGAGAGAACTGGGGCAAGAGCCCAGGCATCCTGACTCCCAGGCCAGCCTCTGCCCACACTAGCACCTGCCCCCATCCTCCCCCTTGCTGGGTGCCAGCAGGGGACCGCAGAACCCTGCCCTGCCAGGCATCTGAAGGTGGTGATGAGCCTTCTGTGCTGGGACTGGGGTTCTGGGATGGTGGGAAAGTAGGGGGCGCGTGGGGAAGGACCGAGCCAGGAGCAGAAACCTTCTTTTTTCTTCCCATATCTGCTTTTTGCAGCCCAGCTGTTGCAGTGGCCCTGGGCCTGGTTCAAATTACACATACCATCACTTAGTTCCATCGCCAGCAAATTAAAGATTCTCTTCCAATTAAACCAGCCCCAGTCCCTCTTTGTAGCCGGGAGCAAATCACCTCTATGTTCTGACCTCCAAATACAAAGGCAGCAGGGAGCCAGGGGCTCCAGGCCCTGTGCATACAGAGGCCACCTCCATCCAAGGCAGCGGACTGACCCCTTCAGCAGGGCCTGGCACAGGCCTTGGGAGAGAGCATTCCCAAGAGGAGGCCCAGCCTCCACAGTGAAGGACAGGCCCTGATCACTAAGGTCTCGGGCAGGGTCAGTTTGTCAGCTCTACAGATATTAGAGATCAAGCCCAACTCAGCAATGCATTGTAGAGTCCCAGAGGCAGCTCTGACTCATCCAGAGTCACACAGCTACCAGGGGGTTGGACTCCAAGACCACGCTCCTTTTTGTCCTGCTGTCTGATGCCCCTACTCGGCGACATTAGCTATCGAGTCTTAAATATCTCTATTCCCAACTTCGCAGCCTCTGTTTCACCCACACTATCATTCCAATGGCCCCCATGCTGTCAGAACTGGAGACCCACCCCCAGGGAAGTGAGACTCGTGCCTAGGATGCCAGTCCTCCATATTCAGCATTTTGGCCACCATTCAATAAGCAGAGGCAGCCAACAACCATTTGCAAATTTTAAAAACTTCCCGCTTTACTGATTAGAAAATTGAGGCCCAGAAAATCAGTGCTTACCCAGGCCCCCTGCCTATCAGCCCTTGGTCTTTCTTTACTACCCTTTGCTGGAAGCTGGTGTTCAGAACACTGCCTCCTCTCTTCATCCCGTGGCCAGGAAATATCACCATGCTCCCACAGGCCCTGGACAAGTGATGACCAGTTGCCCCTGGGAGCCCCATTCAAGGCCCACTCTGGACATGCTAGTGCCCAGGCAGGTGGTCCTCACTCACCAGTAAAGTCTGCTTGCTGGATTTCCAGGTCTGGGGCTGGGCCTTGGGACTCTGGCTCCTGATGAGCGAAGGGTAGCCTGGGGAGACAAGGGGCTCCAGTCAGAGGGAGCACAGGCTGGTGGTCAGGGCCTCAGGACTGGAGCAGCACAGATGCCCTCTCTAAAGTGACCACCAAGCTCCATCCAGCCCATTACCAAGTGCAGCCGGGGAGGGGCGCCATGGAAAATCCTGAGGAGGTGGGCCAGAGGGAGGAGGCATCAAGGCAGACAGAAGGAGGAGGAGCAGGCCAGGTGGGCTGGGCCAGGCAGCAGGGGAGCATCACCCCAAATCTGGACCAGGATCACACCTCTTGCGGGTATCGCCAACCCCTACCCTGCAGTCTCATCCCAGAGGCCCCTCTCCTTCCCTTCCCAAAGCCCAGGAAAACCCCTTTATAAGCACAGTCTGCCAGATCTCCACCAGGAGGTGCTCATTCCAACTCCCCGAGGCTCCCCATTTCCCAGCCTGCCTCCGGCCAGGCACTACACTGGATTCCACCTAGGTCTTCCCTGTTCCTGTTGTCCTGGACTGCACAGCTAATAATCAGCGGTCAGAACTGGGCCCAGAGAGTGGCAGTAATGTGGCGGTGGTCCAGGGTTCAAACAGCAAGTCCACAGGGCACTCTCTAGGTCTGGGGTCTCGGAGATGCTAGTCTGGGGCAGTGCTGTCTGAGCCCACCTCCCCATCCTTCTGCCTCAGCCCAGCAGGTTTGTAAGGGGCTCCGTCCACAGAACTGTGAAAAGCACTTAGTGTCAGCCCTCAGCCTGCAGAGAGTGACAAGGCTGCCGGGGAAGGAATAGACTGTGAGCTGGACATAGAGGAGCTCAAGAAATTAACAAGGTCTGTCTTGGCAGGGGCAGGCTGGAGCCCTGCACTGGGCTGCTTGAAGGGTAGTTGAGCTGGTCAGAACCAGAACCTGCAGCACTGCCAGGCTGCCAGCGAGGCTGGCCCTTCCCAGAGTTGGCACTTGGCAAGGGGGCAGAGCCAGTGCAGAGAACCTGGCTGTCTCCCTGCATCTGGGGGTGGGGGCAGTCTTGGAAGGAGAGAAGGAAGCAAAGGGTCCCTCAGGTCCTGAGCGGAAGGTTAAAACAAGGGGGGAATTCAAGTCACTTCTCAGTTCCCAGAAAGAAAACCCCAGGCCAGCCATGAGAAAGGTGGGGATGGGGGTGGGATAGGGTGTGGTCCAGGAGACCAGCCTCTACAGCAGGGATTATCCGGGGGCGAGTAGGCTAGGATGGCGGGGAGGCATGCATCCTCTGCCAGGGGGCTCTGGGGAGATGGGAGGGTCCAGGACACGCTAGAAGTGGCAGAGAGCCCCGTAGGATGTCCCAGTTGCTCTGCTGTGGGAGAGAAAAGAGGGGTGATGCAAAACAGGTGGGTACCAGGATTATTTTTAAACAGCCCACTGCCGTCCAGTGGTTTGGAAAACTCTGTGGTGGCCTGTCCCAAGGTGGTGAACTGATAGGGGACTTTCCCAGTGCCTGCCGGGAGAGAGAGAGCCATTAGCACTGGTCCTGGGGGGGGCAGAGGGGGTCACAGGTCCCGCAGGCGCTGCTGCTCTCAAAGCACTTGCTCAGCCCTCCCAGGCACCCCCAGAGTAGATGCAGGTGGGAGCCACAGGGCAGTCCATGCCCAGGACCCCCATCTAGGCCAGTTCTGAGCAGATCTGCATGAAGGTGACAACAGGTGTCCTGGGGATCCTGGTGTATTTGAGCAGGGGCTCACCTAGAGCAAGGCCCCCCTACCTGGAGAGACTGTGGACCACCAGGGAGATGCTGGGGAGCAGGAAAGCTCTGAATCACACCTAAGGAGGGGGGCATCTTTTCTGCCTGGTGGCCTTTGATCCAAGCTTGACCAGAGAGCAGGGAGGGACCTGCTGGAAGCCAGACAGGCCAGAGCAAGTCCCAATACAACTCTGACCCAGTGATCCTGCAGGCTGGGACCCTTTAGTCATATCCCCTTGCGGGTAGATCCCAGAATCCCAGCCCTGGGTAGAGGCTGGGACCCAGCCCAGAAGGGGCAGCTGGATAAGCAACTGTCTGAGGCCGCTGCCTAGGGGTCCACCTGCACCTGTCCCACCTGAGCCCACCCAGACTGCTTACCCAGGCTCCCAGGCCAGATGTTTGCCAGCCAGAAGGCAGACAGACCTGCTCCCACCACCCCCAGAGCTGCCCCGTGGAACTTTCGGAAGAGACACGAGGGCCGTGGACCCACTGGGAGCTGGTGTCTGGCTCAGGCCAGCCCCTCGGAATGACCTCAACCCCGGGGGACAGGAGACATCAACCACTCAGTCTTGTCAAAGAGCTCTGGGGGCAGAACCAGACTCGGGAGGGAAGCCTTCGAGTTCATGTAGTCCGCCCGGCCCGGAAGGGACTTGGCAGGACTCTGGCTCCGTGGGAGGCTGACAGGTGCTTGGGCCACAGGGTTCTAGAGTTACCTGAGGCTGGGAGTCACTGGGAGACAAAGTTAAATAAACTTCCTGCAGTAGGAAGGCTCGGAAATTAAGCCTGATGGAAGCCCCCTGGGGATGTCGGGGCGCAGGGTACAGAGGGTGTGGTGTGTCTCCCTCACCCCCGACACTAAGGCCTGTATCACAGTGCATCCTAAGGGACCCACGTGCCGTGGCCCAGCCTTTCTGATGGCAGAGACTTGATGGAGGCGGGGCATGGTGAGCAGAGACCAAGGCAGGGCTTACAGAGGGCCCAGAAGACGACGGCTCGATGGGGGTGAGCTCACCTTTCAGGGAGAAGGAGGAGCTGCCTTGCACCGCAGGCACGTCGTCAGAGCTCTGAATGGTGGAGGAGTATTCCCAGACCCGGGAGGTGTAGTTACCTGGTGGAGAAAGGAAGCGGAGTCAGTCTGGGGCGGCCTGGCACGTGAGGGGTTGGGGGTGGGGGTGCGGTGAGCAGAGGCCTTTTCTGCAAATCTCTCCAGCCAGGAGGCAGCTGAGTCCTCATCACACCTCTGACCAATCCTTCCTGCCATCAAGTTGTCCTTCTAAAGCATGGTCCTGTCCTTGCTCTCAGATTAAGGTACAAAGTCCTTAACACGACCCTCAGCTCTTTCCTGAGTTGCTGCCCCCACCCCTCTCCACCGCCTCCACTTCCTGGCTTCCCCACTTCCTGCTCCCGGCACTCAACACCCCAACCAGGCTGTGCCCTGAGCTCCTGACGCACACCAGGCTCTCTCTTGCCCCAGGCTTTTGGCATAGGCCAGGTCCTCTACCTAGGAGAGCCCACCTGCTCCCCGACACTTAGTAAATTCATGCATTGGGTCTTCAGGCATCAGCTTCCATGTCATCTCCCCCAAGTCTGCATGTGTCTTAGCCCCACGCTCCATATCTCTTTGTAATCACACATTGAATGCTCCATCTCCCCTACTGGCTCCATGAGGGCAGGTGGTATGCCCGTCTGACCCAGTCTCCCACCCAGTGCCCGGCACCTAGCCTGGCTCCTGGAAGGCGCTCACTGTCCAGCTGATGGATGAATGAATAAGTGAAGGAACAAATAAACACAAACACAAGCTAAAAGTTGGAGACGGAGGCAGCTGCCACGAGCCCTTCAATTCTGTGTGCCAGGATGAACAGGCTGCAGCGGTCCACCTACAGTGGATGTAAACAGACCTGGGGACAGCGTGGCGAGGACAGCAGGGACACCACGAGGGCCTTTGAGAGCCCCCTGCCCCCTGTGGAGGCCCGCCCACTCCAATCCCTCCCTCTCAGCAGCTCCGAGCATGGCGGCTCCCCTCAGCTGAGCTCATACCTCAGAAGAGCCCCCCAGCCCTGGAGATCTCCTGCCACTGCCTGGGGGTGGTGGGTGAGAGGTCAGATGGGGGTGGGGGCTGGCCGCTGCCCTGTCATGAACCCCCGCCCACAAGGATCTCTGCCAGAGTCTGCACTAATTTTCTCACTAGGCATGTCCATCCAAGGCTCCAAGGGGCCATTTTCTTTGCCCTCTCATCCATCCATTCATCACCCCCTCTTCCTCCCATTAAACAAATGTTTGCTGAGCCCCTCCTTCTGGACCTTGAAGTTGGCAGCAGCAACAGGACAGACCCAGCATCTGCCTTCACGGAGCTCATAGTGTCCGGTGCCTGCAACGAACCCAATCCTGGACATGGAGGCCTGGGCACTGCCCTGTCCATGGTGCCCCAACCCCCAGGTCTCCAGATCTACCAGCACCCCCACTTCCTTCCTTGCTTCTCCAGACCCCTGGTGCTGTGTCCCCAGGGACTCTGGTGGAGCTGGCCTGAGTCCCCTCCCCATCTGCATGTGGCACACACCCAGGAGCCCCCCAAACCCCAGGTCCATCAAGAGCTGGGCCCTGCCCTCAGCAGAGCAGTGCCCTCTGCACTTTGGGCAGAGGAGGGGACCCTGCACTTGGCAGCTCTCCCTGGGGAAGCGCATCTCCACCCCCATTTCACCCCTTCTGGGTCTTAAGGACAAGTCGCCCACTTACCTCCCTAGCAACCACACCTCCTGGGTCTCCAGGGATGGCCCATCCCATAGCATGCCTGACTTTTCCTTGCCTGCTACCCTAGCCTGTTTTAATCAGTGTCTGACTTTCTGACACAGGAGTGCACAAATCAGGAAAAGCCCTCTGTGGTTCCCTGGCCTGCCACCTGCTGAGGAAAGTCCTCACGCACCTCACCCCGGGGTCCACTTTCCCCAACTCATCCTTCAGGGAGATGACCTTATGGACTCAGGGATTCCAGTGATGCGGAGGTGCCTGCCTGCCTTTCCTCAGCCGAACGATGTCACACACATGCACACATACACATGAACACCCCTTAAGCTCGGTAGGACCCCACCTCACCCTCCCGGCCAACCCCACTCCAGCTCCCCAAGTCCACCTCGTATGGGGAGTCCAGGCCCCCTGCCCATCGCCCTGGCCCCCACCTGCTGCCCGCAGGGCACCACACAGAGGCCCTGCCACCCTCCCGCTGAACCGCCTCCCACCTTTGGTGCCGTAGAGATTGTTGAAGTTCTTCTCCTTGGAGAGGCGGCTGGGGGAGGCCGGCTGGTACGAGGTCCTGGCCCCACCTGTGAAGGGGATGAGGAGGGGGCTGTCATCCCAGAAAGGGGGGCCTGGCTCAGCCGGGGGCCTATGGCTCTGACTTGAGGGGTGTCAAGCAGGACTCCTTGCTCCCCAAAACAGGTCCGCCTGCCTGGGTCAGGACCTGGGTTCCACCACGAAGACAGCACCCTTGGGTCTAGGATAAGGTGACCACATAATTTACCATTCAGATCGGAACAGTTTTGAGAGTGAGAGGGATGATGCTAGTAGTCATGCTGAGGGTACCAGTGTAAACTTGGAGAGTCCTGGATGGATGAAGACGTATGGGCATCCTAGTTAGGGGTTTTGAGGGTCACCAGAACCCCCCCCAGCCAGGCCCTACGTGCTGAGACCCCAGAGGTTGGGTGAGAGGTGGGGTGCCCGTGAGGAAGCCGGACCAGGGCCACCACGGGGGTGGAGGTGCAGTGAGGGCTGCCAGCTGGAGGGGCTGATGAGCTGGTAGCATGAATACCTCCCCACCTGGGTAAGCTTTCCCCAGTGATTGGCCCTAAATGGCATGGGTTTCCATTCCTCCCCTATTTGGGCTCCACAACCATCTGGGGAGAAAGGCAGAAAGAAGGGGTTCCACACCCTCACTTCACAGATGAAGACATCACATGCATGCACCAGAGTGCGCATCAGCTCCTGCCCTCTTGCCTAACCAGCCCCACTCCCATTCTGGAGGAGAGCAAGCGTGCTAAACCTTCACACCTTCAGTCCAGCCCTCGCGCCCCTTGCCCTCCGTCCATCACAGCCACACCCTCTCTACCAAGCCCTCAGCCCCTCTTTCAGGGAGCCTGAAAACTAACTCTCCTCCAGAAGCCTCACTGCCCAGCCCCACTGCCCCAAAGCTCCCAGACTAGGGCCACTGGCCCTGCTTCCTGACCTCCGTGCTGACTCTCCTCGGCCCCTCCCTTGTCTCTGTCTTGAGCCTGGGAGCCCCCAGAGGGCAGATTTCCTCCTCCCTCCTGTCCTGGGTGAAGGGGCAGAGACAGGATAAACCTGTTTCTTCTGCCTACAAATGTCACAACCTGAGTCACAGTCACAGAGCTGGAGGCTCTCCTAGCAGCTGAGTCCAACCCCTCCTTCTCAGGTAGGGATCCTGAAGAGGCAGGGACCAGCTCAAGGTCACCTCTCCGGTGACATCTGGGCGGGTCCATGCTCCTTCCTCAACCCTCCATTATTACTCGGTTCCCCTCCATCTGCAACAGAGCAGGCCAGCCCCGCAGGGCCAGTCGGGGTCTGATACCACCCTGGGTCTGGTCCTCAGAAGCTGGTGAGCCGAAGGTCTGGACCATGGCCGGGGATGCTGGGACAGCTGATTAATGCAGCTTATCTTCCCAGAGAACTAAGCTCGAAGGACAGTGCCCCGGGGGAGGGAAAGAAGCAGAACTGGCCAGCCCGGACCTGGCTGGCCCCCACCTGGAATGTAGGGCAGGGTCCCTGCGCCCAGCTGCCTCGCCGGAAATCCAGGTGTTGTTTTGACGTTGGGTGGGGCGGCTTAGGTTCCTCTCTGCTGAGCTCATCTCTCCAAATACCCCCTGGGGCCCCTCCCGCTGTGCATGTGTGTCTGAGGGCGTGAGTCAGTAGTGCCCAGGGCCTCAAGGCTCCCCGTCCCGGCCCCTGGTGTCTTCCCCAAGTCTCCTGTCTCCCCCTTCCCTACACACCCTCTCTTCTCCTGACCCCTGACCCCTGAAACACACGCATGTGCATGCACCCCTCTGTCTACCAGGCACACCCACCCTTATGTAACGGGCATCACTGTGGTTTGTTTGTTGCTAATGCCAAAGAATGTGACGGGCTACCGCTGGGCAAGGACAGGCCGGCGCTGGTCTCTTCCCTCACCCAGCTGGGCAGCCGCCCATCAGGCTGGGCCTCACTGGGGCCTGGGAGGGAGGGCTGGCTGCCTGGGGGAGGCAGGCCTGAGGAATTTACAAGAGCAGCCCTCAGTCCCTGCCCCCACTGCCTTGAGGAGCAGGATGGTTCTGGAGGAGCCAGCCCTCCCCCAGGACGACAGAAATCTAAGCAGAAGCAAAACACAGATCAGCCTGGCAGATGGAAGTGGATGAGACCGTCAGGAGGCCCTCTGGAAGGAAAGAGAAGGAGGTGTGGGCTGGAGGTGGAGGTTGTGGGAGGGTGGCAGAGGGCAGGGAAACCAGTGGAGCAGGCGCCAAATGGAAAGCAAGAGGTGCTGGTAACTGCACCAGTAAGCAGGTACAAGGGCCTCCCGGGTGGCTGAGTGGTAGAGACACAGGAGACACAGGTTCGATCCCTGGGTCGGGAAGATCCCCTGGAGAAGGAAACGGCAGCCCACTCCAGTATTCTTGCCTGGGAAGTCCCATGGACAGAGGAGCCTGGCTGGCTACAGTGCATGGGGTCCCAAAAGAGCCAGACATGACTTGGCATTAAACAACAGCAGCAGAGAGGTACATGCCAGGACCTTCCCAGGCCGGTCCATGAGGGTCGCCCCCCTGGGGAACCTGGCTACGTCTCTCCTGGACCTGCCCCCAGCGGCAGGACCCGCACCCTTCTCTTACCCTTGGGCGTCAGGTACATGGAGTATCTCTTCATCGCGTCTGGAGCACTCCACTCACTGGTGTAGCTGTTACTGTAGTTGTTCATGTAGCGATGGTCACCCCCTGGGAAGGAGAGAGCAGCGGGTGGGGACGACGAGCTGGCCCACTGGGGGCATCACTGAGTCAGCCCGCGGCCACTGTGTCCCAGGGAGAGGCGAGGCCCCCAACCTCAGAGACGGTGGCACCCCTGCCCTGCACCCGCTCTGGCCCTGAGCTCCTGGTGGGTGAGGGAGGGTTTGCACTGGGCCATCGGCCTTGCTGGGATGGGTTCCTATGAGGAGATGGTAAGCACAGCACTTTGCAGTTAACGATGTGCTTTTGAGTTCCATTTCTTGTCTGATGTGTCCATCAACCCTTGGGCTGGCATGAAGATACCCGGGTGGCAGATAAGGAGACAGAGGCTCAGGAGGTGAGTGAAGCCACTGCCCAACGTCACATGGCCCATAAGGGCAGATTTGGGATTCGAGCCCCCATGCCCACTTCCTGGCCTTGTCCCAGCCACTGCTGACAGCCCAGGGGATGGAATGAGGTCCCAGCACTGGACTCCAGGGCCAGGGATCCAAGTGGCCAAGTGGAACCATGCAGAGGGGAGTGAACTACTCAGAAGGGTCACCGACTGCCCCCGCCTGGCATCCACCAGCAGACCCCTGAACCCAAACAGACCTGTGGCTCCACGCTTGCCCTCCACCTCCATCTCCTCTATCCCTCTGCCGTTCCCTCTCCCTCTCTCCTGGGCAAGAGGAGGAGTGGGGGACTTAGACCCTCACCCTTCATCTCTATCATGTAGGCCAAGCAGGGGCCTGGCACACTGTAGGCACATCATGACAAACAAACATCCTCTTTGATATTGGTCCAGCTCCCTCCCCTCCAAGCCCAGGAGGGAGATGCCCTGGTGTCTCTCAGCCCCCGCACCTTTGATGGTGAGAACTGAGCCCCTGGCCTGGTGGGCAGACCACCATCAAGGAAGAGAGGATGGTCACTCCAAGGTCTGACTCACTGGCCACCCACCTCCCACCTCCTACAGCCAGACACACTCCCAGCATCACAGCAGAGACAAAACGCCAACTCGGAGGCCCAGGGCCCCAGGCACAGGTGTAGAGCCGCTGACGTCAGCACAGCCCATCCTGCTCCTGGCAGCTGTCTCCCCGAACACCTTGTACAGGGCGCAGGGCCACACCTCACGGAGGCCACAGCCAACACAGTCATGACCTAGAAATGGCACAGTGGGCGAGCGGTGGTGGGAGGTGGGGTCCCTGTGCCCACGAGGCTCACAGGCCATCCCAACGCCGTCAAGGCCATCCTCATGGGTCTGGCCCGACCTCAGCTGAGGAGCTCCCCAACCAGTTCTGTGCCCCAGGGAGCCTGACCCTCACACCCCCTCCTCCTCTGCAGGCTACCACGAGCAGCAGCTTCTCCAATGAGAAGATGTGGGTGGAGGGTTTGAATATGAAACCCAGCTCGCCCCCTGCTTAGCTGTGTGCCCTTTGAAAATCTCCTTCTTTTGTGAGATGCCATACATCCAGCAGGGAGACTAAAATAACGCAAGAGAGGCACTTAAAAAACCCAGCCTCCAGGGAGCACCGGATCACAGAGGGCTGTCCCCAACAGTGTCGTCGCCATTTTCCGGGGGATTTCAGGACCCAAATTCCCCTTGAAGCCAAATGATTATCTTGCAGCAGTGGCTTATCTGTCCTCAGGGGTGGCCATGTCCCTCACATCTTCTAGGGACACTAGGTGATGTCAACATTCCCAAGACATACAAACACCACCTCCTGAGTCCCAGCCCCTCGGTGCACCATACTCCCAACTCATGCCCCAAAGAATCACGTACTCCCTTTGGAGACCAAAGACAGTGTCACTTCCTCTGGGTGTTGCAGCTAGAAATCATTAACTAGGCTGCATCCTCAAGGCCTGGGCCACCGGGTGGAGCTTGGGAAAGTGTCCAGCTTCGGGCCCTACGGGGATGGGCTGGGACTGGTGGAAAAGCACTTAACGGGGCAGTTTCTCATGTTTGGAGGCTTTCTATGTAGATGAGTCAGTTGCCTCTCCAGAGGACAGTGTGATTCAATAGAGAAGCCGACTTCAGCGGAGCTGGTGAGTCACCGAGACACGCTGTGCTCAACCATGCCCAGACAATCCACCAGGCCAAGTCCACCTCTGGGCTCAGCACGGCCATAATGACAGGCAAGTTCTGCCTACAAGCCTGCATGCAATTCTAGGTCATGTCCCCTGGAGCCTACCAAGCCCCCAGCTTGGAGTCTGGCCCTTACAATTTTCAGCATCCACACAGCTCCTGGCTTAGGTCCCTAGTCAGACGCAGAGCTGTGAAACCAATCCCTGAGTTTGATGGACAATCCAGGGAGACGACATTTGTCCCTAGTGGTGTATCTCCCTAGCCAGTACCTGGGATGCTCCCCTGGAGGCCCCTTGTAATAGCTGCATAACTTGGGCAGCAACTTTGAGAGAGGAGGGTACCATCTCTGAGTCTTGTCCAAACACCCTTAGGTGAGATGGGAGGCTGGAAACAGTGAGGGGCCAGCTGGCGGGATGCCAGCCTGAGCCAGCAGCAGGAACTGACCTAGGAGAAAACCTCCATGGCCTTGGGGCCCACCCACAAAAGAGAACTTACCATTCTCCATGTGGTTCCTCTCAATGAAGTTGCGGCTCAGGTCCGCCTTGCACATCTTCTCAACGTGGCGCATGCACACGTTAAGCAGGTCGTCCTTGCAGTTGCCCAGTGACTGCCCCAGGCCCTCCCCCTCCAGCAGAACATGATAGGTGGGCAGGGGTGGCGGGAGGGAGTAATTGCTCATCAAAGCACCAAATTCCTACCAGGAAAGGAAAGAAGCCATTAATATCCTGGGTCTTTAGGAGCCATGGGGACCCACAGTCTAGCTGGAAGACTCAGCCGGGAGCCAGAGGAGGTAGGTCGACATCCAGCTTGGCTATTTACTGGCCTCACTTTTCCTCACTGGGCACTCATTTCTCATTCTTCTGTAAAATGAGAGGGTTTGACTAAAATCTACTAGATGGGGACTTCCCTGGTGGTCCAGTGGTTAAGACTCTGTGCTTTCACTGCTGAGGGCATGGGCTTAATACCTGGTTGGGGAACTAAGACCCCCACAAGCCAAAAAATGAAATTAAATTTTTTTTTTGAAATTAAATTAAAAAAAATAAGTAAATAAAATCCACTAGATTCTACTATCCCTGATGGCACTAGCAGTCAGGCATGTGACTCCGTGGCTCCCATCTCTTAAATTGGATGCATGGTGCCTACTCATAGGGGTTTTTTTAGGTTTATGGGAGCAACATGAGCTGCAAAGTCTTTGGGAGTGAAACCACCAAAGAAAGGCAAGGAATTACTAGCACTGCGGGTCAGTCACAGTGGTCTCTCCCCCTGCACGTGCCCTCAGTCCGGCCTCTATGCTCTGGCACGTGTTACCTTCTTTCTCCCTCACTGGAAACTCTCTACATCTTTTCAAATCTTAACGGGCTTTCAAGACCCAGTTCAAGTTCCACTATCTCCATAAAACTGTCTCCAGCCTGTCTGCCCTTCCCAGAGCTTCCACAGGCACTTATCTCCTGAACCATAGGCTTTATCACCTAATTACAAGTTCTTCTATATTGTTCTCTAATTGTATGTGTCTTATCTTCCCAGCTGGATTGCAGCTCCTTGGGGGAAAAAACTACGTCTTCTACCTTTCTATTCTCCACAGCACCTAAAACTGTGTATAGTTTGGGTGTACAGTGCCCAAAATACTCTAGCAGATGGAAGGATGGAGGAACAGATGGACAGACCAGATCAAAGATAGCAAATACGCATGCCTACTTACCACTATCCCATACCCAAAGCAGGCATCACTAATCTATCACAGAGCTGTTCCCTGAAGCACTATTAATACGTGTCGATAGAAGTTGGCACAAGGTGATCTTTGTGTGCCATCTTTAAAGTAGGTAGGATGCCTTGGATGGAAAATTAAATAGATGGGACGGAGCTTAGAGGGATGGATGGATGATGAATGGTGGATACAGGGATGGATGGACAGACGGACACTGGATGAGGGATTGGGTAAGCGGATGGAAGGAGTGAGGGGTTGAACGGGAGCAGAGTTGTTCGTTACCTGCAGAAACAGCACCGAGTCGCTGATGTTGTGCAGCTGCTCCCTGGTCTGCTTGTCATCCTGCAGCACCTTGGCCCTCTCTTCCAGAGCATCCACGATCACCTTCACCTGGTCCACTGCATCCTGCTCCCGCTGCTCCAGCGCAGCCCTCACTTCCTCCTTCTGCTTCTCCAGGTCCCGCACCAGGTCCCGGAAGCTCTGCTCCAGGATGGCCTTCTCATTGGTGGTGAAGCTCTGGGTCCAGGGTGAGGGCAGAGGGGAGGAGGTGCGTCTTAATGTTCCCAGCATAGAGTCAGGGCATTTCTACTGCCCCGACCCGGCAAGCCTGTTCAGTCAAGAATCTCATTCAAAGGCATCACTGAGGGATCTCTTGATAGAGATGGCCAGGGTGTTTTCACAGCCCACCCTTCCTTATCCATCAGCAGCTCCTCCCACTCAATGGTTTGACATGAACCATCATTCTATGCTTGGGCATCTCTATGGGTCCAAAAGTTCCAGAGGAGTCAGGGTGTGTCCACTGAAACCTCAGCCAGAATCAAGCATCATTCAGAAAGTGAACTGATGAGCTGTTCATGTAGCCAGGTTCAAGAATCAATTATCTCATGTCGTAGTTTACAAGTATTCAAACCAGGGCAGACATTCATCTTGCCACACTGCACAAATAAAGGGAAAATGGCATGCATTTGATGGCTGGGTAGTCAGTGGGCAGAATAGATATTGGCGGACATTGGGAGACACACAGGATAGGCTGGTCCAGGGTCTTGAGATGATAGAAGATGAGCATTAGGTGATGGGCAACATCCCACGTGGATGCCTGGCCCAGACTTAGAAGGCGAATTTATGGAAATGCCAAAAAGGGTAAAAGAACCCAGAAGAAACAAGTGTAGGATGTAAATGTGGGCCTGAGACCTTGAGCAAGAGCTCAGGCCCAGGCCTGCCTCCTCCAGGCCGCACTGGTGGGAGACCCCGGGTGCTGCTCACCTTGATGCGGTCCTTCTCCTTCTGCCACTTCTCAGCTTCATCTTCTATCTCAATGATCTTGAGCTGCAGCTGCTCCTTTTGTAGTGACAGCTCCGTCTGTAGGGAAGGAGCCAGGGTTGGAGGAGAAGTCAGAGGGAGGAAGTGGAAAAGATCCAGAGAGTCAGGGAGGAGGGCCCACAAATCATCATTCTGCCCTTCATTCAACCAACACTCACTGGGCCCTTGAAAATGCCAGGCACTGTGCCAGTCATCAAGGATCCTGCAACAAGTCAAGCGCCTCCTCATTGTAAACTCTGGGCTCTGAGGCTGGGCAACCCAGCCATGTCTTTATAAGGCAGACCCTCTACCAGGCCCTCCACCCAACGTGAGCAGGAAGGAAGCTCATTAGGGGATTCCCACTCCTTTCAATGGACCTGGAGCCATCGGGGAGCAGCTTATAGGAGAAAGGGGACCCAGCCCAACTCAGCCCAGCCCAGCCCAGGGAGCGTCCCATGGCAGTAAGAGGGTACAGCGTTTCTATGACATGACGTGAGGCTTGTGTTGCAAGCAGGAATCTGGGTTGCCGCCAGCGGGGAGTCTGTCTGGGCAGGCACAGCTGTAAACCTGTTTATGGGAAATGGAGCGCAGTTTGCAGTCTGGGCAAGATTGGGACTTTATTCAAGTCCCTGGGGGAGGAGAGAGGCCAGCGAGTGAGGCAGTGAGGGTGGATGGGAGAAGGGAAAGAGAGGATCCAGGTTCCCTGCTCAGGAAGAGAATATGGGCTGTCAGGGTCTGGAGTGGGTTGGGAAGAGGATCTATCGGGAATGAACTGGGACATGAGCTCTGATATAGGAAGTGTGGATAACAGCTTCCTTCCACTGGAGAAACGCCTTTCTCTGAAAAGCAGCTATGACACAAAAAAAGGGGGAAGCATGAACTATGTATACGCTTAGTCACTCAGTTGTGTCTGACTCTGTGACCCCATGGACTGTAGCCCACCAGGCTCCTCTGTCCATGGGATCTCCCAGGCAAGAGTACTCAAGTGGGTTGCCATTTCCTTCTCCAGGGGAATCTTCCTAACCCAGGAATCGAACCTACATCTTCTGCTATGCAGGCAGATTCTTTATCCATTGAGCCACTGGGGAAGCCCGCATGAAGCTAAGGCCAATAGAGTCCAGCCAAGAGGCACCTCTTTTGATCTGTGGGTTCCCCACTGGTGCTCCCAAAACACCTTCCAGTTTGAAAGGCAGGTGGGTGATCTCCACCTGAAAGCAGGAAGACCGGGCATCCGAGAGCATCCCAGAGTGCTCAAGGTCTCCCCGCTACACTGGATTTTGAACAGAGTCCCAACCCTTTCCAGCCATCTCCTTGAGGAAACACAAGAAGAATCAAGATGTGGATGCCACAAACCACCAGGAATGGGAACTGTGCTGGCAAGGAGCCCTGAGCAGCTGTGCACACACGTCACAGTTCCTCGATGCTCCCCCAGGCCAGGGGCTGCGGGTGGGTCCCTGGTGCAGAGACCCAGGGAAGGGAACTGATGGAGGAGGGAGCATTCTGGCTTTTGTGGAAAAGAGCACTGAGAAGGTGGTGGGGAAGTTGGGGAGGACTGGGGCGGGAGCCGAAAAGCTCCCAGACCCGAAGCCCCGGATTCCCACCCCGCCCCACTGCCCATACCCTGGGCCTCTCCGGGCCGCAGACTCTCAGTTCTCAGGAAGCCAGCGCCCCACCAGCTACACACGAGAAATCCCACAACACGGAAAATGCCACCAGCCAAGATGGGAATTGTTTGTGAGGAGGAATAAAAGCGGATGAGGACGGGGGTTTGGCCCAATCTCTGGACAAAGGCTGAGAGAAGCCAGCTCTCCACACACTGGGTGGAAGGAGGGTGGAGAGCAAAGACAGAAAGACCCCACATGGGCAGTGGAGACTCCCAGTGGGCAGGAGGTAGGCAGAACCAAGAGCCCAAAACACAGAGGTGGGCAGAGATGGTGGCCTGGAAGGTTCCTAAGAAGCCTGGGACTGGTAATGGGTCCAAGCTGTGAGGAAGAAGCCTAAAGACTGGAAAGTGCTGGGCAACTTTCCCATTCCTGGATAACCCCCTCACCCCCTCACCTGCAGCAAGTGAGGCCTGAGGAGGGGGGAGATGCTGGAATCCCATCCCCCCTGCATCTGAGATGTTGTCACCAGCCCAAAGATTAGCAGCTGGCACTGGGGTTCCTCACCCCAACCTCGCACCCAGAACAAGGAAAGCAGAGAGCAAACATTCATTCACTCCCCCAGGCCTAGGGAAGTGGGGACAGGGCAATTCTTCCATGAAACAAGCCTGGGGGATCCAGGAGGAGCCCACCCAGAGCCCAGGACTGGAGTCCAAAGGTTTGAATCCAGTTACCACCACCTCCAGGCAGGTGGTCTTTGCAACTTACTAAACTCCTCCATGCCCCAGTCACGCTGTCTTTCATGGAGGTAGTAAGAGGACCTCCCAGGCAGGTGTGGGATGAACTGGGACCAGACAGGTGAGACTCTAGAGAAAAGCACTGACCACTGGTCCCATCACCACTGCTGTGTCAGGCACCTTCCATGGACCGGAGCTTGGAGGGGAGAGGACAGGGAGGCAGGCAGGCCCGCAGGGCACAGGTAAGAGGCAGGAGCAGGCAGGGGTGAGCAGGTGGGTCTTGGTGGTGTTCAGCGGTTGGGATGGTGTGTGCTGGGGTCCAGGTGTGGTGTGTACACAGTGAGGATACAGAGTGAAGTGTACAGAAAGGAGGGAGGTCAAGACATCAAGAGGTCAAGAATGTGAAGTGAAAGTTGCTCAGTCGTGTCCAACTCTTTGTGACCCCATGGACTGTAGCCCACCAGGCTCCTCTGTCCATGGGATTCTCCAAGCAAGAATACTGCAGTAGATAGCCATGCCCTTCTTCAGGGTACCATCTCAACCCAGGGATTGAACCCAGGTCTCCTGCATTGCAGGTGGGTTCTTTACCATCTGAGCCACCAGGGAAGCCCTGAGGATCTAGAGACTAGATGGTGGATAACTGAAGACTGGAGGATGTTGGTGGAAAACAGAACAGGGGGATAAACGGGGTGCAGGCGGGCTACCTGCTGTGAGTGGTAGAAGGCCTTCCTAGAGAAGGGGGAGGTGAGGAGCCAGTGGAAGGCGCAGAGGTGCTTGGGAATGTCTTACCCACAAGAGCACAGACTCACTGGCCAAGAGGGAGAAAGATGACACTGAATCCTGGGGAGAGAGAGTCCAGGGGCTTTAGAAGAGTGAAGAGCCTCAGCCAAGGGCAGCAGGAGTCAGCCTCTGGGGTCCAGTCTGTGTAAGAGAGGCCAGGAAGAGGGAGGCTAGTGGGAGGGGATGTGCCGAGGAGAGCCAAAGATGCTGGCCAGTGACCTGGGAGGGGTGGAGGGAGAGGCTGCCAGCAATCTGGAAACATGCAAGGGCAGGGTCAAAAGCGGAGCCTTGCTGTCTGCAGCCGTGGGTGGACGCATCAGTCAGGGCAGGGGAGACTGGTCTCCTGGTTTGTTTGGGGCACCGGGGAAGTCAACATGGGCGGAGTGGGGGCCTCGCAAGCCCTGACTTGCTGAGCAGAGTGGGATCTCGGAAGGGACCTTGGGCTGTGAATTCTGTGCTACTAGAAGGGTTTGCTCTCACGTCTAGGGTGAGTGCTACCCTGTTAGGAGAGGAGGGTTTGGGCTGAGACCTCTGGGGATGCAAACAGCATCTGTTTAGCCCGTGGCAATTTTTTCCTGCTGGCCAGGCTGCACAAAAGCCAGATGAGGCAGGAGACAGAACACAATACAACATAGGAAGGTTCTGAAATACTGGGTTCTCCTGTCACCATAGAAGGAAGGACCCTAAATGCTTTGTTGAGCATTCACTGTGTGCTTGAATTTCTCCTTTCATCTCAAAAGCCCCCTGGAGAGGTAAGCCATGTTGTCCCCATTTTACAGATACAGAAACCAAGGCGGAGGCAGATTGAGGAGCTTGCCTGAGTTCTCCCAGTGAGGAAGTGGGAGGACCACGACACAGAGACAGGACTCAGCTCGGTTACATGGCCTCAACCCCTGGGCTGTTCTCTGTACCATCCAGGACATCGTAGTGCCAGGCCTCCCCACCCCCTACCTCATAGACGGGGCAGTTCATGGATTCTGCCTCTCTCCCTGTCCTCCCCACACGTCCCCATCGCCCCCTAAGGCCCCGCTTTCTCCTTCTCCTCCCTGGGCTTGCTAAGTCGTTTCAGTCAAGTCCAACTCTTTGCAACCCACTAAGCTCCTCTCGCCATGGGACTCTCCAGGCAAGAACATTGGAGTGGGTTGCCATGCCCTCCTCCAGGGGATCTTCCTGACCCAGGGATCAAACCTGTGTCTCTCAAGACTTCTGCATTGGCAGGTGGGTTCTTTACCACTAGCATCACCTGGGAAGCCGTTCCCTCCTCCCTAGGACTCTGATTAAATCCCCTGATGGGGCCTCAGCTCCTGTCAGCTCCACCCTGTCTACACCTCCCTCCGACTTCCTTCTGCTCCCTGCTCACCCCTTCGCCCTGCCCAGGCCTGCCCCTAAATGCCTTCTTTGTTCCCTTCTCCCACACTCCTCCTGTTGCCTCTCGCTCTGTGGCTGGGACGGCCCCTGTGTAGGCCACCCAGCCTTGAAATCCTTCCGGCCTTGGGGGAGCAAAGAGGTGGCCAGCAGCTGGTGGTGCCTCGGCCGGGACAGCCTGGGCCTTCAGGTGCAGACACACCTGAGTGCTCACCTGGACAGGTGTGCCTGTGCTGCCCCAGGGAAGGGGAAATGGGGCCCAGGATCCTCCTCTGGTCTGAATTAACCACATGGGCCATTGGCTATGACATTTGCCAAATGAGCCAGTTAATTGCCAAATTTGTACTTTCAGACAAATGGTAATTATCTGGATAAGAATCTGAAATGCTGGATAGATTTACCCATTCCCACCCAGGTGTTAACCAGCAACCGTTCCTCTTGCTTCCTTGGTTGTCAGGATGAGGAAAGGGCAAGATTGGGGGCGGGGAAGAGCATCATCCAAGCGGACTCCAGACCAGCAGTGGGGCCTTGAGAAGTTACCCCACCTCCCAGGCCTCCTTTTCTTCCTGGTAAAACTGGACTAGGTTCCTGATTTCCAACCTGGCTACGCATTAGAATCCCTGAGGGTGACTTAAAAATACATATCTTGTACCCTGAACCAGAACCTCCCAGGGAACTCCGAGGAGCCTCTGCCAACCCTGTGGAAACAACATTTAAAATGTTACATGGTTATATGGCCTCGGCCATGTAAAATGGTGAAAGAGAACAGGCTGGGCTATGACCACACTGAGTTTGAATCCCAGCTCGGCCACCCCCACTCAGCCACCTCCAGTGCTGGAACACTGGTTAAGTCTCTTGGCATCTCAGATCCCATTTCTTCACCTATAATACAGATGCAGATACTCCCATCCATGGGACTGTTGTCAGGAGTAACAGTATAAATGCCCAGGCCAGCGCCTGGCACATCGATGTACTCCATAAAGATGAGGCATCCCCTGCCTGCCTGCCTGGCACTCTCTCCACTTCCTGTCTCTATACTTCTTTCATTTGGTCCTTTCCTCCTCAGCACCCACAGAGGTCATCCCACCTCCTTTCTCACCCACCTTGTCCCACAGCAGTTTCCCCCCAATATCTCCGAGAAGAGTGGTCTCAGACACCCCCCCCCAACCCCATTCCAGGCCTTTAGCCACCTGGCTCCTCTTCCAGAACTTGGTCATGGTGGTCCACCCAGAGAGCCCCAAAAGCCCAGACCAGCACATCTCCCAAAGCTCAAAGACCAGCAACTGCCCATGGCCAGCAGCCTGGCAGCTCAGACTTCATGGAAAGAACTGAGCAATGAGACCAGAGGCAAAGCCACAGACCACTGTGGCAGGAAGGACCTGAGCCAAATGATGGCCTCAGGGGAGTGGCCGAGACGTCGAATCTGAGCTGCATGACTGAGTTAGGACCTTGCCCTCCAGAGCAATGCTTGTCCTGAGTGCTCCTCCCCATGCCTGGCCAGGCTGCCAACCTAGAGGCCAGAGGACCCACAACAGGCAGACTACTCCGCAGCAAGAGTCGTGGCCAGGAATCCTCCACTCTGACCCAGTGCAGCAGAAGGTACTTGGGAGAGACAGAAAACAGGCCATGAGACACAGAAAAGAATGGATTTGTACATTGAGAGGGCTTCCCAGTTGGCGCTAATGGTAAAGAACCCACCTGCCAATGCAACAGACGTAAGAGACATGGGTTTGATCCCTGGGTCAGAAAGATCCCCTGGAGTAGGGCATGGCAACCCACTCCAGTATTCTTGCCTGGGAAATCCCATGGACAGTAGAGCCTGGCGGGCTATAGTCCATGGGGTCGCAAAAGAGTCAGACACGACTTAGCAACTAAGCAACAACGAAAATCTCATCCGTCTAAGCCAGAGGCAGAGGGGTGCAGCTCAGGACACTGTGGACCCTCCTAGTGACATTCAGAGTGGAACTGGAAACATTCTGATCTTGGGTCAGCAGAGGGAGGATTGTCATGTTGGCACACCAAGTGGCCTTTCTCCAACACCACCTCTGCTCAAGTTCTGTAGAGCCAAGGCCCAAAAGCACTGCAGCCCAGGTGTTGTCTACAGTCTCATACAAGAAAACATGATAGATCAGTGATGGCCTCATCTGGGCCTCACCGACCAGCCTGCAGAACAGGTTCTGGATAGGACTTCTTGCAAAAAAGTTGTGTGTGGGCTTATGTTTGGGTCTGCAGGGACTGCCTCTGAAGGATGTCAGAACTGAGAGGCTCATTCACTTTGATCTGTCAACCTACCTAAGGCTGCTCTATGCCAATGCCCCCCATGTCTGACATTCCAGAGGTGCTGGGCCTGGACAAAGAGCTCCACTCCATCTCTGTCTCCACTCAGCTGCTCAGCCCCACCCTTTCCTGCCTACCTGTGCTGCAGTACACACACACATGCACACACACGTGCACACACACACACACACAGTCTGAAGCTCCCACCGTTAAAGTCATTCCAGTGGATCAGACATTTCTCCCTGAGCCCCTGTAAGGCACACACATCCTGAATCCCATCCCCCTCCCCCAGTTTCTCTCAAACACTGGAAGAGGACTCAGGGGGCTTCTTCCTTAAGCACTGAGCCTGAACGGGTCCCTTCCTTCCTCTGGACCTATGTCCCCATGCAAGGTGGAGAGGAGATGGCAAGATTGCTCATTCTCCATCCAGCCTAGCATTCTAGGCATCCAGTCCTCTGCAAGTTGATGTTTACTTACAGCGCTGCTGTGTAACTAGGCGGATGCACCCCAGACTGGTTTGTGCGTCTGAGCTCTGCCTCTTGACCTACATCACGAGCCCTAGAGCATGAACTCCAAGTCCCAGGTGCTACCAGAGAAAACTGCCAAGACTGTCCTGTCCTCTGGGGCTTTTCTTAAGTGGAGATACCCCGGTTTCAAATAAAATGTGAGACCAAGCCCTACACATATAACAGATAGAGAAAAGCAGGTGCTGGAAAATCCCATGGACAGAGGAGCCTGGTGGGCTACTTCCAAAGGATTGCAAAGATTCGGACATGACTGGGCATGAGTGTGGCACAGCTGCTTGCAGCAGCGATGGTAACCTGGGGCCCCTGCCTCCTTGGCATCAGTTTGTCCCCCTCGTCATCCCTGACATCTCAAAGACACTCCTAAGAATCTTCAGGCTCCAGGTGGTCATTTGAAAACTTCCAATTTGTCCAATCCCTTAGCTTCAAATGAAGGGAAACCAAACCTGAGAGAATATAAGGGACTTGTCCGCTGTCTTACAGCTGGTTCAAGGGAAAACGAGGACTGGAGCTGAGGTCTCCTAAAACCCAGCCTGGGGCTCTGCAATTTCTTGCTTGTGGTGGTTGAGGATAATTAACTCTCATTCTGTTTTGATTCCCTAAGTGAGATCCTGGAGGAGATCCATGGCCCCTGCCCCATCTCCATCTCCCTGTCTGAAGCCTGAAGCCAGGCTGGGGTCAGGGAGTTAGGGAGACTAGGATCACCTTTTCTTCCTGGGCCAAATGAGGCTTCTGAAAAAGCTCTTTGAGTCTTTTGTCATCTCTGACTCGTCTCTCCTGCCCAGGAGTATGGATAGGAAAGAGTAACCCACAGACTTCAGGTCAGGAAGGCTGGGCACAGAGGGGACCCTGTGCTGACCCATTCTGGGGGGGTGCAGAGAGCAGAGTCTCCTGCCTTGACAATGAGCATGGCTGACCCCGGCCGGAGGCCGCCCCATGTCAGGGGGCTGTGTTGCTGTGGGGGGAGGAGTCCCAGCATCTGCAGAGCCACAGACAAACCCTTATCCCAGCACACACTCTCCAGGTGTAAGGGCTACCACATCCACAAGCCTCCACACGCCTCTGCTCCTCCCCGCAGAAGAACAGGCAGAATCATGTACACAGAACACATGCACACACTCTTGCATACACCTCATATACAGCCATATGCAAACATCCATATACAGACATAAACACCCACATGCACAAAAAACACGCACTCACACATATATGTACACCCCTCCCCCGCTCAACCCTCACTACAAGTGTCCACCCACAGGCAACGGCCACACACACGAAGCACTGAGGATCCAGCTGAGGGAAGGATAAAGGACGCCCCTGGGAGTATCAAGACTGGCTGGGGGATCAGACAGAACAAGGAGCCACTGTCCTACAGAGACCAACTCCGAAGTCAGGAAAAAAAGGGCCTTGACATGGTCCCCAAATTCCCTCCTCCTCACCCATGACTTATCCCCACGAGCCAGTCCGACTCAGCTAGGAAGAATTCTCTCTCTCCCTTAAGTAGAAAGAGCTGACTTTCCCAGTGGCTCAGATAGTGAAGAATCTGCCTGCAAGGCAGAAGACCCGGGTTTGACCCCTGGGTCGGGAAGACCCCCTGGAGAAGGAAATGGCAACCCACTCCAGAATTCTTGCCTGGAGAATCCCATGAATAGGGGACCCTGGTGGGCTACAGTCCATGGAGTCACAAAGACTTGGACATGACTGAGTAACTTAGCCACTAAGTAGAAAGGAAGAAAGAAGCACCCAGCCAGGCAGAGAGCCCAGGACTGAATGCTGATCTCCTGGCCTGACTTGACTTTATCCTATGACCTTGGCCAAGCCCCCCATCTTTGCTGAGCCCCTCTTTGCTCATTTAGGAGATGACCCAACTCCTGAGGCCTTAGAGGACTGGGGAGCCATCTCTGACTCCCAGCCTGGGGGTAGGAGGGGAAAGGACTATTTTCTACAGAACCAGGGACAGCAGAGAGGTAAGGCTCTGACCCTGGGAGCGTCCAGTGGAGAAGATGAGGTGGGAGGGTACTGCGAGGGAGGAGACGCCTGGAGGGGCCAGCTCTTACCTCCTTCTCGGCCTTGGCCTCTTCCACGGTCACAGTGCTGTGGTTCTTGTGCTCCTGGAACATGCAGAGGTAGCAGATGCAGGTCTGGTCCGTCTGGCAGAAGAGCTCCATGGTCTTTCCGTGCAGAGGGCACTTGCGGGCCTCGAAGTCCCGGATGGGCTCGAGCAGCTGGTGGTCGCGGAAGGCGGCGCCCTCCAGGTGGGGCTTGAGGTGCAGCTCGCAGAAGGAGGCCTGGCACACCAGGCAAGACTTGACGGCCTTCTGCTTGTTGCCGATGCACGAGTCGCAGAGGACCTCCTCGGAGCCCGACTTGGAGCGCAGGAGGGTGCTGGAGTCGCCCCGGGGGTAGCTGTTCCGCCGGACGTCCCCGGGCTCCACGATGGACACCGAGGGCTTGCGGGGCTCCGAGAACATGGACCTGCGCAGCTCCCCCTTCTCGGCAAAGGTGACAGGCGGCTTCTTGGCAGCCCCCAGCTGGAGCCCGGCATAGGGCGACCGCCTGCCTTCCCCAGAGTCCATGCTGAAGTAGCTGGATCCCTTGTCATCCACCGACTCGACAAACTGGATGATGGGCCGCCGCCACTCACTGCCAGAGAACAGGGAGCCCTTGCCTTCGCCCGGCTTCAGGGCGCCACCTGCGCCCTTGCCCTCGGCCGCCTCCCCGCCGTGCCCATTGGCAGTCTTGGCCTCTTTACCTTCAGCTTTGACCCCATTCTCCAGGCTTCCACTAGGGCTCAGGGGGCTGCGGGCATCCCTGACGTCCGGGCTGGCTCCGTTGCTCCTGGAGGCCTCTGCAGCTTCCATCACGGGTCACCTGGCTGGTCGGTGGCGGGCGCGCTGGGGGTGCGGGTGGGTGACCTCTCGGGCGGCGGCGTCTCTGCAGGAGTGAGACAGGCAGCCACGGAGCCCAGACACACCTACGGGGAGCGGAGAGGAGGGCCTGACACAACGGGCGGGCTGGAGAGGCAGGCGGCTCCCGAGCCAGCAGAGCAGCTAATTATACAGAGGGGCCCCGCCCTGCACATTCATACCTAACCTGGTTTTTTAAAGAAGTGTTTTTATTCTTCCCCAGTTTAATTATTTTCCACGGCTCAGCAACCAGTTGGGCTGCTTCCTTCTGATGCACTTTCTTCTCATCAGGAAAGCGGGAGTCTCTGTCCTTGCAGGTGGGCAGGCTTCGCTGAGCAGAGCCGGCTGTGGGACAGAAGGTGGGGTGTCCACAGAGACCCACAGGACACAGGGCTATTTAACTGGATCACACAAGCCAAATAATCTTGTAACTTGATGGCCTGGGTTTCAGAGGAATATCCCCTGCCACCCTGAGACACTGGAGTTGCTTCTCATCTTTTTTTTTTTTTAATTTTCATCAAAAAGTTTAGTACTTTTTTAAATTAGAGGATAATTATTTTACAATGTTGTGTTTGGTTTCTCATCTTAAAAGGAATGATGGGTTCCATTTGATTTGGATTTCAGGATTTGGAGTGAGGTGGTTACTGATTCTGGAACCCTACGTGCCAACTTCCAGGCACGTGTCAGGTATGTTACCTATATGAGCTCACTTAAACCTTTCAAGGGGCTTCCCTGGTGGCTCAATGTTAAAGAATCTGCCTGCCATGCAGGAGCCACAGGAGACACAGGTTCAACCCCTGGGTCAGGACGATCCCCTGGAGGAGGGCACGACAACCCACTCCAGTATTCTTGCCTGGAGAATCCCATGGATGGAGGAGCCTGGCAGCTGCAGCCCATAGTGTCCCAAAGAGTCCGACAAGACTGAAGCAACTTAGCACACACACACACACACACACACACACACACACGCAAGCCTTCCAACAGCATATTCAAATATCTCCATTTAATAGATGAGAAAACTGAAGCTCTAAGAAGGCAACTTGCTGGCCTGTATCAAGTGGTAGAGCTAAAATTTGAACCCGAGTCCTTTGAGAACCAACAGCCACCTGACTATCTCAACGGAAGACAGCTTTAGGAAGTCACGTCCCACCCAGCAGCCCTAACAAGATGCTTACGGCTTTATGTTACTTCTATCAGAGCAAGTTAGAACCTGCTTGGATCCAAAGGACAGGGAAACAGTAGTGAGGGACAGGAACGCAAGCAGTGCCAGGCCAGGTGGCAGCGTCCTCAGGACCCCCACCAAGGGGAGGGCTGTGCCCCTCCCACGCTGGGCTGGACTGGGCAGAGCAGGAGGTGGGTGGGCCTGGGGTGGCAGGTGCCGGGCTGTGTGTAGCGGAGTGGGTTTCCTTCCCCTCGAATCCAGGTCAAACTCTGGAAGCCCCCACCCCTTTGCCTCACCAGGCCGAACAGCTAATCCTCTGCAACAACAGCTCCTGGGAATGAGAGCAGAGACAAGCTTAGCTCCCCAAGCAGCCAGAATTTTAAGAGGAGGTGTGGGGGTGGAGAGTGCTGCTTCATCATGGGGATTCCCTCTAACCTTGTGTCTCTGTTCTCAGGCTCCACAAGAGCCCCGTCTCATTTGAACTCACTGGTGAGTGGTCTAAGAGCTTGTGGGGGCTTCAGGGGGCAGGAAACACTTTCGCAAAAAATCTTGCCCAGGACTTCTTTGGTGGATCAGTGGCCGAGCCTCCACACTCCCAAGGCAGAGGGCCCAGGTTTCATCCCTGGTCAGGGAACTAGATCCCACACGCCGCAAAACTAAAGATCCCGAATGCTACAACTTAAAGTTGGCATGCCATGGCAAAAATCTCACATGCTGCAGGTAAGACCTGGCACAGCCAAAATAAATTAAAAAAAAAATTTTTTTAAGTCAGGCCCACTTCCACTGGGCTCTTGCCTGAGGTGTGAAGGGAAAGGAAGAGACAGAGATGGAGCCATACCGTTCCTTCCCCTGTGGGTGTCTCCTGGGCCCTGTGAGAACAGGCTGTGAGGAGCAGAGCAGAGACGGCAAGGAGCAGCAAAAGGGGAAAAGCAAAGTGTTCTGCTTGTGAACCCAACATCAGTGTGGGCTGACCCTTCCTAATGAGGAAGCCTCTGCTAGTCCTTAGAGTTCATGCTCCATCTTTCAGAAGTCTAGGAAAGATTCTGAACCTGGAGAATAGGCTGACACAAAGAAGATGTTCAGAAAGCATTTGTGGAAAGACGGATGGATAGATGGATGGATGGATATGTGGGTGAATATATAGAAGAAACAAAACTTAGATGGATCTGAGTTGGAAATGAATGGGTGGGTAGATGGATAACAGTAACAGATGTATGGATGATGGGTGAGTGGGAGGTGGGATGAAGGATTGATGGGTGGGTGGTGAAAGGATGGTGGATGGATGGATGAGTAGGTAAGTGGGGAACTGGATAAAGTAATTTTTAAAAAGGAAGGGGAGAGGAGGAAGGAAGATTTGTGGAAAGGAAGGAGAGAAGAGAAAGGAAGGAAATGGACAGGTAACACATGGACAGGTAGTAGACAGGCAAATGTGCTGATAAACACTTAGCAACTATCTCTTCCAGAGCAAAAAAGCACAGGTTTATAGTGTTTGCCAGTTTCTTCCACCCTGGCCAATTTCTAGCTACCAACTTGAGATGTGTTGGGAAGACATGAACACGGTCAGCTCCCGACAGGGTCAGGCCATTGTGAGCCAGTCCAGAGTATCACAGGGGATTGGTGGGTAACGGGGTAGATGAATTTATGTAGGAGGGAGGACAGAAAAAAAGGATGATGGAGAATTCAACTCTCATCTGTCCTGAGAGAGGAAAATGGGTTCAAGTGATTTCAAGGCAGTGGAAGATAAGACTACCTTATCTCTTCCACAAGGCTTTCCCCCCTGACCCAGGCCCACAGATTGCTCCCTCCTCTGAACCCCTGAAACATCACTGTCTGTCCTACTCAGGGGTATTTGTCTCAGACCACCAGATGGTGTTAATTACTCACTCATTCACACTGATATTTCTTCAGTATCCTACCATGTGCCAGGTTCTAAGCAAGGGACTGACCACACTGCATGAATGAATCCCAGATCTCGTGATTGGGGAGCTTCCAGTCCAGTAGGAAAACAAACCAGTGAGTCAATCATTTGATTCTGGCATGACTGTGAATGAGAGAAATCCATGTGAGAGGCCTGGGCTGCCCAGGGGAGGGAAGAGTCCAGGCCGTGCTGTGAGAGGCGGTCCCTCCAAGCAGGCTGAGTACAGCTCACTTCCCATGCACAGAGGTGTCCTCTCTGGCCAGACAGAGGCAGCATTTGATTTGACTCAGCAGATATTTATTCAGTTGAATTCTCAGTCCATGTTGGTTGATCAGAGTTTTGGTCCACCCAGACAGGGGCCCCCAGCACTTCCTCACTCCAATGGACTCTAGGTGAAGTGTCCTAGGAATCCCCAGAATCCACGAGTTGAAAAGGAGAAGTCAAAGAAACAGTTGTGTCTCCAGGGACAACATGACTCCATGCACACCAGCCCCAGGGCTGAACTAAAGAGGAAGGATTTCTACCCTAACCCTAACCCTAACCTAAGCTTAACCCCTACCCTAACCTCTGGAGTACTGAGGTCTGAAGTGGGCACTGAGGACCATCCACGGCAAAGTGATTGCTCCCAGGGCTTCCCCAAACCCTTACTCCAGTTCTGCCATTTTGTCCCCCAAAACTACACGTAGCACCATCTGCTGGAATCTGGCTGCTCTTCCATCCCAAATCTATTGCACAGGCTTCACAAAAGGGCATTTCCTGATGCTAGCAGAACCTATGTGTCACATGCAAGCTGGCCAAAAGTCCCCAAAAGCTGTCACATCCATCACTGTGGCTTGGAGGTGAGGGGCCTCCTGGGAGCAGAAGAAACTTTGTTTTTAAAGGCCTTGAAAGAAAGGAGTCAATGGAAACCCCTCCATCACTCATCTCCCACCTTATCCAGTTCCCCCTCTGGTCTGGCTTAAAGCCTTCTTGCTGCAACGTTTCTCTCTATACCAAGTGATGGAGGAATGTGATCGCTGCCAGCCCCAGCCCCAGCCCCAGCCCTTGCAAGGGTTAGGAGGCAAGAAGAGCTGGCAGGTGTAGCTTCTGAAGGAGTCCTGTGAAGCTGGGGAGAATCCTTCCTCTTCAGACTAAGTATGTGCAGCCAGCCAGCCGCCACCGAGTCCCTTCTTCCCACGCACACTGGTCAGCCAACCCCAAGCCTCCTCCCAGCCTTCTTTCATGAGGCATCTGCAAGCCGTTCCCCTCCTGGAAGTCTCCCTTGATTCAGCGGGTGGAGCAGCCTCACCCACCCACCTCTGCGGCCTGGAAGCACCTGTTTCCCTCCCCAGTCACCTTCAGATGAAAGAGGAAACCCCTTTAAAAGGAGAAAGCTCCTCCCGCTCCCTTGGGATCCCAAGGTTGGGAGGGAGCGGCCAGCAGGTCCATCCCTTGCCCCTGATCAAAACTGTATCTAAAAACGTCCTCTAAAAGATCTGCAAATAAAAAGATGTCACTGCCTCCCTCAGCCATTCAATTTCAAGCTTTGGGACTATTTGCTGCAGGAACATCTTCTTTGAATCCATCTGAGCCTCATGCCCTGAGAAAGACAAGCTAAGGGGCAGTTGTGTCCAAGAGAGGAAGGCTCTGGTCCAGTCTCAGTGCTGGCATGGGTCTTTCGATTTGCCTGTATCTCTGTCTTTCTGTGCCTCTGGTTATAGACAGCAGCCAGAAGGCTGTAGTGGTTCAAAACTGTGTGTTAGTCATTCAGTTGTGTCCAACTCTTTGTGACCCCATGAACTGTAGCCCTCCAGGCTCCTCTGTCCATGGTATTTTCCAGGCAAGAATACTGAAGTGGGTTGCCATCTACTTCTCCAGGGGAACTTTTCAACCTGGGGATCAAACCCAAGTCTCCTGCATTGCAGAAAGATTCTTTACTGTATGAGCTCAAAACTTTATAGCAACAATAGAATTTCTGAGGTCTTATTTACTCATTTCTGCTATTCTAGTCCTACAGAGTTTCATGAAATTGGAGGGGTTTCAATTATATACT